CACGTGCCCAAAAAAAAAAAAAAAAAAAAAAACGGGCAGAAGATCTGAACAGACATTTTTCCAAAGAAGATATACAGAAGGCCAACAGGTACATGAAAAGATGCTCAACATCACTTAATCGTCAGGGAAATGTAATCAAAACCACAATGAGATAATCATCTCACACCTGTCAGAATGGCTATTATCAAAAAGACAACAAATAATAAGTGTCGGCAGAAAGGGAACCCTCATGTATTATTGGTGGGGATGTAAAGTGGTGCAGCCACTGTAGAAAACAGTGTGGACGTTCCTCAAAAAATTAAAAATAGATCTATTATTACAATTTAGCAATTCTGCTTCTGGGTATTTTTCTGAAGAAAACAAAAACACTAACTCAAAAAAATACCTGCACCACCCCCGTGTTCATTGCAGCATTATGTATAATAGCCAAGATATAGAAGCAACCTAAGCATCCACCATGGATGAATGAATAAAGATGAGTACACACACACCACACACACACACACACACACACACACACACACACACACACACACACACACACACACACACACACGAGAGGAATATTATTCAGCCATACAGAAGAATAAGTTGACGTTTGTGACAACGTGGTTGGGTCTAGAGGGCATTATGCTAAGTGAAAGAAGACAAAGACAGATACTTATATGTGGAATCTAAAAAAGTAAAAATAAAGACCAAGCTCATAGATAAGTACATGTTGGTGGCTGCCCGAGGCGTGGAGTAGGGGTTGAGAGAAATGGATGAATTGTTTTTTTGTTTTTGTTTTTTAGTTTAAATAAATTGAACAATTTTTAAAAAAGAAGTGAATGCACAAAAGCAGTAGGATAAAAGGCTAATAGAAGCAGTCGTTTCAAAGGGATTATGGCATAGAATACCAGGCAAGGCAAGATCTCAGAAATAATGTCTTAATTTTCAGTCCTTGAAATTTCTTCCCTCCTTATCTGATACAGAGTTCAGGAGGCAAAGATGATACTTACAACAATAAGCGCACGTTCTGTACTCAGTATATTCCTTTGTGGGGGGAAATAAAATACAAGCTTGGGAACTGGTTTCTGCCCTTAAGGAACTTAATAGCTTATTGGTCCACACGACAGCCCCACATTGGTTTTCAATTATGTATTCAGTGTCTTGTGGATTAAGAGTTTGGGTAATTCACTTGATTTGTAATAGTTAATGATTGATTAGTATCATCTGCACATGAGTGACTAAAAGCACTTTGTCATAACCTCCTGCACATTAAAAACACTTGGCGTTGTGGCCACACGCCCGTGAGAATAACGGGGTAGGGTCTGTGCTGCGGGCTGTGGCGTCTGCTCGGAGCCGTTGATACCATGCTGATGGCTCATTTATCTCTCCTTTGTTTGTGTATATGTTTAATGGGGTTTATCTCTCTGGATAAGAAATGGTAAAGACATCAAATGTCTAGGAAATGGGCAGCCACCACAGATCTGGATGGATGGTGGTGGTTGTGCCTGTCCCGTGTGATGAGGGGTCTGAACGCCTGTCCCACGTCTCTCCTCAGGTGTCCATCGATTGCCCGTGGTCCATCTACTCCACTGTCATCTCGCTGACGTTCAGCATGCCCTTCAGGACCACGCACTCCCTGCTGTCATCCGGGACACGGTAAAGGACCTCAGGCCCCTTTCCCAGGCTCCCCTACCTGCAGGCCCTACTGTTCAGAGCTTGGCTTTGGTGACACTGAGCATGTTTTCTCATAGCCATGATGCCACTGTCCACCTGTTAAAATTTGCAGTAATTCCCTGGGTCCTATAGCGCCCAGCCCGTACTCAGATTTGGTTTGTAGGATGTGGGATTCAAACACAGTCCCCTCTGTTTCTGAGATCCCTTCTTATCCCTCCTCCCCCTGTTTTCAAGCCATTCGCCCATTGCCAGACTTGGGTCAGTTGCCATTCTGGATTCCCCTGGTCACGTCCTCGTGGGTTTGTGTAAGTAGCTCCCTGTCAGCTGCTGTCTGTCACCTCTAGAGGGGGGGCTTGCAGTCTCAGCACTCCTGACGCTCGGTCAGATCCCTGTGTTGTGGCTGTTTGGCAGCACCCCCGGCCCCCCCGCTTTCTGCCAGGGGCACTCCTCGCCCTCCGTACCCTTAGTGTGAGCCACAGATGGCTCCAGACATTGTCCCCAGTTGAGATCTGCTGCTTTAGAGGCTTGACTAGGTTCAGATTCCGTTTTTGGACAAGGAAGTCTGCAGGTGCCATCCTGTGCTTCACCTGTCCCCGCATCAGGAGGCTCAGTGTGTGGTGGTTAAAAAACACCAACAGCTCTGCAGTGAATCTGGGTTGCTTTATTTGAGCCTGGCTTTTCAAAACTCCTCTTTACGTGTAACAGAAATTCAAAACTCCTCTTTACGTGTAACAGAAATTCAAAACTCCTCTTTACGTGTAACAGAAACTCCTCTTTACGTGTAACAGAAATTCAAAACTCCTCTTTACGTGTAACAGAAATTCAAGTGAATTCTGTACTGACCTTGTTTGTCAGTGAGTAGTCTTCTATAGATGAAGAGTAATTGTTACTCTTTCTTCCATGACTCGTTGCAAGCTGTTGTATGTTTAGGAAAATCAGTTGCAGTCGTGTAATAAAGTGTCCAAAATAGAATATTCTTAGACCCATTTTTCCTAAGAGATAGCTTGCTTAGAAAGATTTGGTTTTTTTCTGACACTTTTACATGTGAAATTAAAAGTAGAAATACATGTTAACAACTGGGTTCTTATTTTCCTGTGTCACTTTAATTCCTTACAGAACGTCTTCTTAATACAGCCAAAATGTATTTAATAAAGTTCTTAAATGGCAAAATCTTATTATTTGTTTTTCTCCTTTAGGAAATATGTTCAAGTGTGTGTCCAGAATTTGTCAGAACTCGACTTTCAGCTGTCAGATAGTCATCTTGTGGCTACTGGTGATAGTACCGACCTGCGACTAATACCGCTGAACACGGAATCCGAACAGGTAACCGTTTCCTAGAACCGAGCACAAACCTCTCAGCAGAACACAGAGGAGAACAAGAGTGTAGTGATGTTGATGGAAGTGACAGTGTGCCTCAGCTGAGCCCTTCCGTGTACGGAACGACCTTGCTGGTGGTCAGTGGGAAGCACGCGCTGACATGCAGCTGTGTTGCTGTGATGTGCATGTTTGCTGTTCGCTGTGGGCCGAGTGGCACAGCACATGGAGTAAGAAGTAGGTTGATATTGGTATTTTTAGAAAAATTAAATCTTAACATTTGTCAGACTCCACACACAGATTTATTCCGAGCTTGTCCCGATCAGTCTCATGCTGATTGCGTGGACACCATCACCGCCAGAAACAGTGGCTGCCGTGTACATGCCTGCCTTGCCCAGCGACGGGCTCTCAGGTGTCGGGGTAGCTTTGTAAAGGAGTCACGTTCATGTTCACACTGTCTGGCTGAATCCTGGCCCTGTTTTTTCTGTTTGTTGGTTGCGTGTGTTTTTAGACAGTCAGTACTGAGTGTTTAGAAGAGCAAAGGTTTTCTTAATGGATGTCTGATCTTTAGCATTTTCAGAGGATTTTTCCCAGCATTTGACCCATTTCAAATGCTTCCCGGGTCTGTCACTGTGCTTATAGTTACGGACTTGTTGCCTGAGGTGGTGCCAGCTCCCTTCCTCACTTCACTTAGTGGCAAATACACAGTAGTTGATGTGGGTGTAAGGATGTCCCTTTAACTGTTTGATGACATTTCCCACTTTGGGAATGTATGGGATACTGAATACTAGTAACTGCTCTTTATGCTTTTTAAAATAATCCCCTGTGCTGTAGAGCTTATGGAATCACAAAGGCTGAGACCCTTTTGACCAGTTCGGGGCAGTCTTCCTCGAGGGCAGCTGAGGGGCAGTGCTGGGGAGGCGGGCGGGACAGTGCAGGCGGCGTGTGGGGAAGCGGGCCCTGGGGGGCCGCCTCCCCCGACCCTCTCGCCCCCCCCTGGCGGGAGGCGACCCCTGGGACTGAGCGCCTGTGTTGCGTGCGCGCGCCGTGACGGCCGACTCTCTTGCAGCGCATCCACAGCGAGCAGGCGGTGTTCTTTGTCTGGGAGCTGAAGTGGACGCAGGAGCCTCCCCCCTCCCTGCACTGCCGGTTCTCCGTTGGATTCTCCCCAGCTTCTGAGGAGCGGCTGTCTGTCTCCTTAAAGCCCTATACTTATGAATTTCAAGTGGACAATTTTTTGGTATGTATTGCCTTATTTTCTGGTGGGGTTGTGTGGTGGCAAGATGGAAGAAGGCATCATATTCTTTATCTTCTGTAAATCAGACAAAAGCTTTCAATATAATGAAGCAATCAGTCGCAGAAAAGAGCCAGCACTTGGGGCGTGGAGGCCCTGACTGGCTAGTTAGAGCCCGAGGTCCGGTCCGGTGGCGGGTCTGACCCTCGTGCCCTCCTGCGTGGCTCCCGCCGGGCGCGTCATCTCCAGAGACAGGACCCCCGCCTCTCCTTCCTTTTCTCTGCCTTACGCTGACTTAGTCATGTCCTGCACCCGTTTCTTAGAGTCCCTTTATCTTGAGCGTTAGCTGCTGTGTCTCTAGTTTTTTAGAAGAAAAACTGAAAGTATTATGGAAACTTACTTAAAGCAGATTTTCTTTAACCTGCACATTAGGTGTGGAGCTAAAAGCAGCCTAGACCTAGGGGAGTAAAGGCAGTAGTTGTGTTTTGTTTCTGTAGTGAGGTGATTGGGTTTGGTGTTAGGTAAATCAAAATGTGGATACACAACTTTGGGGTGTTCCCTTTTCTTCTCTTTACGACTGAGATCGTCAAACACTTTATTTGAGAAGGTGTTTGTATAGCTCTTGACGTTAGCAATTTTTTTCAACACCTCCTTCCAACCAAAAGACTGTTTTGACCTTCCTGCTTCCTTGAGTTCTCCTTATTAGCCTTAAGTTAAACATAATCACTAGCATAGTTCCTCTTTTTGTTGGACAAACAGGTGCCTTTTTGATGCGTTGTTAATAGCAGCTGAACATTAACTTATTCATATGGTAAAGAGTCTGCATAAATTTAATCTGGTTTCCTTACTGCAGATGAAGATTGACACTAGTTAGCAGTTTCCACTATTTTCTGTCTTTCTTGCTTCCTTTTCAAATGGAGCATAGGAAAAATTTTCCTTTCGAACTGAACAAGCTTAGTTAAAGGCCAGAGAAAAATACCTGGTGGATTGCTCTCTTCAAAACCGGTATTCTGAGGATGAGAAATACAGATACCACCTTTCTTTTTTGGCTGCGTTGGGTCTTCGTAGCTGCACATGCGCTTTCTCTAGTTGTGGCGAGCGGGGGCTACTCTTCCTTGCTGCTCATGGGCTTCTCATTGCGGTGGCTTCTCTTGCTGTGGAGCATGGGCTCTAGGCACGTGGGCTCAGCGGTTGTGGCTCGCGGGCTCTAGAGCGCAGGCTCAGTAGTTGGGGCGCATGAGCCTAGTTGCTCCGCGGCATGTGGGATCTTCCCAGACCAGGGCTCGAACCTGTGTCCCTTGCTTTGGCAGGCAGATTCTGAACCACTGCACCACCAGGGAAGTCCCCGGATACCACGTTTTCTTAAAAAGCTTCATTGAGATTTGATTTCTATACCATGAAGTTCACCCGTTTGGAGGGTGCACGTCAGTGAAGTTAGCATGTTGACAGAGCTGTGCTACCGGCACCATGATCGTGTTCTAGCACACCTTTCATCCTCCCAAGAAGAAGCCTGTGCCCCGTTCACACTCACCCCCTCTCCTTCCTCTTCTCACCCTGGGCCTCCCCTGATCCAGAGGCAAGCGTGCCTGTGCTTTGCCTGTTCGGGTACAGTCGTGTTATGTGTGATCCTGTCAAGACTGGCTACTTTCACGTGACAGGATGTTTCCAGAGCTCATTCATTTCGCAGCATGTTCAGGACTCCATTCTTTGTTGTTGGTGAATAATATTCTATTGTGTGGATAGGCCACATTTTGTTTTCCATTTACCTGTGGCTGGACATCTGGGTTGTTTCCACCTTGGGACTGTTATGAATAATAATGCTGTGAAAATCCTTGTGGAAGCTTTTATGTGTATATATGTGTTCCATCCTCTTAGGTAAATTTCTCGGTGGAGTTGCTGGGTCATATGGTAGCTCTGTGTTTAACTTTTTTTTTTTTTTTT